TTAGGGTTTACTGCACTTCTCTGCGAATAATGTAATAGAAATTGGGGAATTTGGTGTTTTGGTCCATAGCTAGTAATTCTTCTATTAATTTATTAACCACGCTAGTCTTTCTAATCATCATCTTCGCTGGTAAATCTGTAGCTTGACTCAAAGAATTTTGTCAATGACTAATTTGTCCAGGATTAATATAAATATTTCCAAGATATCATTACCTGTTGAAGGACGACGACGTTTCGGTCCGTCCTGGAACATTCTCAAGTCGATTGTCGACACAATCGACTTAAGAATGGTCCAGGACGGACCGAAACGTCGTCGTCCCTTCACCTTCTAGTGTGTGGTCTGGTCAACATACTTTAGCCAGGTTATTGTGACTCCTCGCCTTCTCTGCTTGCCGCCTCAAATAAATAGTTACCTTTTCTCTGGACAAATCAGTTCTGAAGCTTCAACTTACATTTGTATTCAAAGTTCCCATCCCAGAAATGTTACAAAGACAATTCTTTCATGAGGAGTCGAGTGGCTTGCCTTAGCTGCAGCCACAATGACGATAATCACTGTTCATTACACCATGACTGCTGCTAGGTCAATGACTGCCCGAAGTCATTGAACTTTATCCATCACGTTATTTGTCACTTGTACATTTATCACACTTGTGGACAAAGTTGTCTTCAGTGTTACAAAATACAGTGTTGTATTTTTTGGCAAAAGCCACATCTTGTTATGCTATTAAACGTGTGTGTTTTTGTTCATAGCAACAAACAAGGATCACGTTTTTTTTACACTTTTCCTGTTCAAACAGACGCTCTATATTGTTTACTTGTTTTGTGGCTAAAATGTTTATGTTCAAAGTAAATAACAGTGAACACTGCCTTTGATAAATATTAAGCTCTAACAGCCTCCAACAACAACGTGTGATGGACCACACAACACATCTCAGAGTCAAGAAACCACGACGTTTGTGTTTGTCCTGGACCATTACCAAGTCATGTGACGGCTTGATGATGTCGTCACATAACCAACAGACCCATCCAACAGGCCCAAGCAACAGGCCCAAGCAACAGGCCCAAGCAACAGGCCCAAGCAACAGGGCCATCCAACAGGCCCAAGCAACAGGCCCATTCAACAGGCCCAAGCAACAGGCACAAGCAACAGACCCAAGCAACAGACCCCATCCAACAGGCCCAAGCAACAGGCCCATTCAACAGGCCCAAGCAACAGGCACAAGCAACAGACCCAAGCAACAGACCCCATCCAACAGCCCAAGCAACAGGCCATAAGCAACAGGCCCAAGCAACAGGCCCAAGCAACAGGCCCAAGCAACAGGCCCAAGCAACAGGCCCAAGCAACAGACCCAAGCAACAGGCCCAAGCAACAGGCCCAAGCAACAGACCCAAGCAACAGGCCCAAGCAACAGACCCAAGCAACAGACCCAAGCAACAGACCCAAGCAACAGGCCCAAGCAACAGACCCAAGCAACAGACCCCACAGTACAAAGCTATCACGTCCAATACGCGTCGAAAACTCTTCATGTGGTCCGCTTCGAACCTCCAAATAACTGACATCTACTGAACAGATATTCACAAGGATCAAACACCTCAAGTTACATATTCTTTTCACTAGACAAAACATAGAGAGTAATGTGCCAACAAATATGCAGTACCTTTACCTTAAACTGAACTTGTTGCGTGTTGAAGGTGTGGCTGGAAGAGCAGCTGGGGTCCGCTGTCACCCAACACACACACACGGAGAATTAAAGAGAGAGAAAAGAAAAACAGTGAGAGTAAAAGCGAAAGGAAAATAGAGAAAAACAATTTAGGCAACAGTGTCACTGTGAACGCTAAGGTATGAGAGAGAGAGAGAGAGAGAGAGAGAGAGAGAGAGAGAGAGAGAGAGAGAGAGAGAGAGAGAGAGAGAGAGAGAGAGATAGAGAGAGAGAGAGAGAGAGAGAGAGAGAGAGAGAGAGAGAGAGAGAGAGAGAGAGAGAGAGAGAGACTCTTTTTCATAAGGTGAGACATATTCAACTGAGACACTCCCGGTGAGAGTTTAAAAAGGGTACAATATGGCCACTCTGTAAACCCACATACTTGGATAAATCTGGTAATTCTTAAGTTTACGTTCGTTTACGTCGAGAATTTACTGGAAGAAACTATTAGCATGGACGACAAGAGGCGACAAAGAGGGAAGACGGGGAGGAGGCACGGTAGGGTGTCATGGGGGAAACAAGCAGAATATGAACTATGGAGATAGAAAGGGACGTGATCGAGGCATATAAGATACAAACGGGACAGGTTCGAGTCGTACAGGACACAATGGAGACATAATCGAGTCACATATGAGCTACAAAAGGGGATATGATCGAATCGTATACAATTATTTTTCACGTTGACAAAGACAGACATGTTCGCGGAGAGTGAAGCCGGGAGGAGCGGTGTGATGCACGCCTGTGTGTGGGAGAGAGGTGGGAGGGTGAGAGAGCGGTGCTGTGTGTCAGCCTCAGCAGGGGCCGGCAAGGGTGTGATGGGCTCCCACTACACGCACTCAATGTCAATGACATCAACATGAAGTTATTGATGCAACACACACACACACACACACACACACACACACACACACACACACACACCTGTTGATTGACGGTTGAGAGGCGGGACCAAAGAGCCAGAGCTCAAGCTCCGCAAGCACAATTAGGTGAGTACACACACACACACACACACACAGCCACACAGGAGGCACAAGAGGCACTGAACTACAGGCCAGTGTCCTTATATACAATTCAAGGTGATGGAGAAGATCGTGAGAAAACGCCACATCTGGAGAGAAGGGACTTCGTAACAAATCGCCAACATGGGTTCAGGGAGGGTAAATCTTGCCTTACAGGCTTAATAGAATTCTTCGACCAGGTGACAGAGATTAGGCAAGAAAGAGAAGGATGGGCGGACTGCCTTTTCTTGGATTGTCGGAAAGCCTTTGACACAGTACTGCATAAGAGGCTGGTACATAAGCTGGAGAGACAGGCAGGTGTAGCTGGTAAGGTGCTCCAGTGGATAAGGGAGTACCTAAGCAATAGAAAGCAGAGAGTTACGGTGAGGGGTGAGACCTCAGATTGGCGTGAAGTCATCAGTGGAGTCCCACAGGGCCCTGTACTCGGTCCTATCCTGTTTCTGATATATGTAAATGATCTCCCGGAGGGTATAGACTCATTCCTCTCAATGTTTGCTGACGATGCCAAAATTATGAGAAGGATTTAGACAGAGGAGGACAGCTTGAAGCCTCAAGAAGACCTAGACAAACTGAAGGAATGGTCAAACAAGTGGTTGCTAGAGTTTAACCCAAGTAAATATAATGTAATGAAGATAGGTGTAGGGAGCAGGAGACCAGTTACAAGGTATCATTTGGTAGATGAAATTCTTCGAGAGTCAGAGAGAGAGAAAGACCTGGGGGTTGATATCACGCCAGACCTGTCCCCAGAAGCCCATATCAAGAGGATAACATCAGCGGCATACGCCAGGTTCGCCAACATAAGAACGGCATTTAGAAACTTGTGTAAGGAATCATTCAGAACTTTGTATACCACATATGTCAGATCAATCCTGGAGTATGCAGCTCCAGAATGGAGACCATATCTAGTCAAGCATAAGACTAAACTGGAGAAGGATCAAAGGTTTGCCACCAGACTGGTACCCGAGTTGAGAGGTATGAGCTACGAGGAGAGACTACGGGAGTTAAACTTCACATCGCTGGAAGACAGAAGAGTTAGGGGGGGGGACATGTTCACCACATACAAGATTCTCAAAGGAATTGATAGGGTAGATAATGGCAGGCTATTTAACACAAGGGGCACACGCACAAGGGGACACAGGTTGAAACTGAGTGCCCAAATGAGCCACAGAGATATTAGAAAGAACTTTTTTAGTGTCAGAGTGGTTGACAAATGGAATGCATTAGGAAGTGATGTGGTGGAGGCTGACTCCATACACAGTTTCAAATGTAGATATGATAGAGCCCGATAGGCTCAGGAACCTGTACACCAGTTGATTGACGGTTGAGAGGCGGGACCAAAGAGTCAGAGCTCAGCCCCCGCAAGCACAAATAGGTGAGTACAAATAGGTGAGTACAGGAGCTGGTGGTTGAGTGGACAGCGCTCTAGACTTGTGGACCTAAGGACCAGGGTTCAGTCCCCGCAGCCGGCACAAACAGATGGGGCAGAGTTTCCTTCCCCCTCATGCACCTGTTACCTAAGAGCAAATAGGTACTTGGGAGTAAGACAGCTGCTACGGGCTGCTTCCTGTGTATGTGTGTGTGTGTGTGTGTGTGAAAAAAAATAGTGACAGTTGATTGATTGACAGTTGAGAGGTGGGCCGAAAGAGCAGAGCTCAACCCCCGCAAGCACAACTAGGTGAATACAACTAGGTGAGTACACACACACTCACACACGCTCTTGGACCAAAGAGCCAAAGCTCAACCCCCCAAGCACAAATAGGTGAGAACACACACACACACACACACACGCAGGAGTAAGAAAGACACAGGAACATTACATAATTCACGAAAGATACTTACTGCTACTGCATCTTGGAGTACACACAACACCGACGCTAGAACCAGAGACGCACACAAACAAAATCACATCAGCAGCATATACCAAACTGTCCAGTACCAGAACAGCCTTCATGACCCCGGATAAGAGTACGCAACACGTACCATACATTCCCCCACAGCTTAACACCCAACGCCAAACCACTGAATTGCCAAATTACTGAAATCAATTAAGCTATCTACAGGACGTAAAATTGAATATTTAGTATTAAATATTTGAACAGTAGGAAGATCTCTGGAGAGGTGGGTGGGGGTGACAGGTGCGGCCCCACAGGTGGTCAACACAAGCTGCGGTACTCAGCTGCCATACATGTCTACCATAATGTGTTAACTTGTGTCTTGTATATATGTCTCTCTCCCTCTTCCCCATGTATCTCACCTATATCTTCTCACTTTCAGTTCCACCTGGAGGACAGTGCCGGGTCGTGGGTCAGGAGCTGGTGACCTCCTGGAGGACAGTGCCGGGTCGTGGGTCAGGAGCTGGTGACCACCCGGAGGAGAGTGCCGGGTCGTGGGTCAGGAGCAGGGCACCATGCGCCCAGGAGAGGTGTCTGGGTGTGTGGCGGTGGGCCGGGGTGCCCTAGTCCTTGTACAGCACCTCCTGGGCGGTGCCAAGTAACCTGCTTCTGCATCACTGCCACAATCACCAACAGGAACATGGTCTGCAGGAACAAGTGAATACGGGAGCAGAAAGTTGCTTTAAGCCTGAAAGGGGAAAGTGTATTCAGGAGGACAAAGTGTTTTCAGGAAGAAAAAGAGGAAGTGTCTTCGGGAAGAAAAGAAAGAAGTGTCAGTACGGGGCGGAAATATGAACCCTGCCTGCCACATAGGTCTTGTGAGGGCTTCGTGCCAGGCGCTACACACCCGCCACCAGCTGCTTCCACTAACCTGGTAGCCCATACTCCTGGTAGCCCACACTCCTGGTAGCACACACTCCTGGTAGCCCACTCTCCAGGTAGCCCACACTCCTGGTAGCCCACCTACCTGAAGTCTCATCTTCCACTCTGGTCTCAGCGCCCATCCAGGTCACACAACAACATAGATACTCGATCGATCTGAGCGCCGTCACTCACCAGAGGACAATACTACTACTTGCTCATCCACCTCTGCTCCTTACACTACCTGCGCCTCCATCTCAGAGATGCTGAGTCTTGCCACGGTATTGCTTCTCACTTCAGCGTTCACACAGCTTTACCAACATGAAGAACCTCTCTAAACTCATTTTTGTAGCATTCTCATCAAGCATATATTCCGCTTTTCCTGTGCCAGCAGCAACAATAATATCAAACACAATCTAGCGCATGATATTTAGCAAGTTGTTATTGTCAAAAGAACAATATTAAATCACAAGAGGAACCACTTTCCAAATAGCCACAAATAGAAGTCACTAGATAAGGACAAACCGAAAGGTTGATATCACTATGCAACAATATTGATCAACTCGTTAAGTAACACACACGTGAACAGGTAACGGAAGCCATCCTGGCTCACCCGGGCCGTCTCCTGCAGGACTCTGTGCTCGGTCACACAGCATCTGGCTCTCTCTCTCTCAACGACCACTGCCCAAGAAACATCCACGTCTCTGGCAAGGCTTGTGATTACTCCACGGTCCCAACATCGCCCGTCAAGACATCCACGGTCCCAACATCGCCCGTCAAGACATCCACGGTCCCAACATCGCCCGTCAAGACATCCACGCCCTCAAGAGTGCCTAAAAAGACATCAATGGTTCCTGTAGCCCCCACGGAGACGTTGATGCTTTTGCCAGCGGTTCTGACGACTTCTGAGTCACCACTGACACCCTCCGAGACGTCGACATCATTCTCAGCGCTCAGTTCCTGCAGCCAGCGGCCACAGCAGCAGCAGCAGGAGCAGCGGAAGGAGGAGCAGCAGCAGCAGCAGGCACCGCTGGCGTCCCCTACTCCTTCCGTGCAAGCGGGCGGCGTCCACAGCGTCACCAATATGTCTCGTCTAGCCAGCATCCGCCTCACCTCCACAGACAGCGACTCCACCTCCCTCAGCGGCTACAGGAACTCTACTACCACCTCTCAGGACTACATCGACTCGGATGTGACAATGTCCCCGCTGAGTCCCAAAAGCCCCTTCAGTCCCAAGAGTCCCAAAAGTCCTTTCAGTCCCAAGAGTCCGTGTAGTCCCCTCAGCCCCAGGTCCCCGCGAGGGTCCAGGCCGTGTTCACCATCTCCGCTGGCAAGGTAAGAGCATTAAGTCTCCCAGGGTGAGAGAGAGAGAGAGAGAGGGTGGGAGAGGTCGAGGCTATGGGGAGGAGAGAGGCAAGAAGAGCGGGGAGAGTAGGGGCAGGGATCGCGACACATAAAATGTCAAAGTGAAAAGCGTGTCTGAGAGCAAATTTATATATATATATATATATATATATATATATATATATATATATATATATATATATATATATATATATATATATATATATATATATATATATATATATATATATATATATATATATATATATATATATATACATACATATTTATGATCGATGTTCCCTTCGGGAACATCGGATCATAAACATCGGATTAGACAATGGATTACCATTGTCTAAACCAGCATTTTCGGAGATTAGAAACCATTGTTATGAGTTTGATCATTCTCTGCTGGAATCTGATTTTAAAATTCTGGACACTTGTATGAATGGCCAGTCAGATTTGAGAATAATGGAATCCTTATATATAAAGGAGCTGCGGCCTCTGTTGAATAGCAACCTTTCAGCTGTTCAATTGTACACTGTATAGTGCACAGTAGGCCCTGTAATTTGATTTATAGTTCATTTTGGTAGTTTAATTTTATTATAATTTTGTTTAGTTTACCATGTCTTTGCCCTTTCTTACTTATTTAAAGTCTTGACATTGTACATTAATATAATCTTTTATTTAGGATATATAATACATTTTTGGTATTTAATTTTATTTAATATTTGAGTTTTTTATAAGATTTTGGTTAGTACTTTATAATTGTCGTTTATTCTGTTTGTATTTTACATACATTTTTTGTAAATTTGTAGTCATTATATAAATATTTGTTATAGTGTTTAGTATCTATATGTCAGGTATCAAGTTTCACTTCTGATCACTTCACGTAAGTTTAATAGAATGGTTTGTTTTAGTAGTTATAAAATTCATCTTGTAGTTTAATGGATTTTTAAATTAGCTTTAGTATATGTGACATTTAATAAGTTTTATTTGTATTGATCACTTTAAGTGCGCTTAAGTGTTTTGTTTTTTAAGCATTTTCCTTTCTTTGATAGGCAATTATATTCAGTATGAGTTCTTTGTTTACTAGTTATTTGATTGTGATTTCTGTTTTTTCTTTTAGATCTGATGATGAATACGAGAAGTATTCGAAACGTTATGCATTTTAAAGTAAAGAATCTGAAACAAGATGTTCAGTATATCCCTGGTTTTCCTATTCATCTTAAAATATATATATATATATATATATATATATATATATATATATATATATATATATATATATTTTATGTGTGTGTGTATTGTACCTAGTAGCCAGAATGCAGTACTAGGCCAACTATGCAAGGCCCGATTTGCCTAATAAGTCAAGTTTTCCTGAATTTACACATTTTTCCAAATTTTCTTATGAAATGATAAAGGTATCCATTTCATTATATATGGGTTCATTTTTGTAAAATTTGAATTGAAACTTACGTAGATATGTGACCGAACCGAACCAACCCTACCTAACCTAACCTAACCTATCTTAACCTAACCTAAACTAACATAACTAAGTCAATAATTTATGTTCATAATATAATAATAATAATTCAAATAAACTAATTGGAAACAATCTATTGAAAATAAAGAAAATTCCTCGGCCTATTAGGCAAATCGGGCTTTGCATAGAAGGCCGAGAAGTGCATTCTGGCTACTAGGTACGAGATATATATATATATATATATATATATATATATATATATATATATATATATATATATATATATATATATAAATATAATGTGTGTGTGTGTGTGTGTGTTTCTGTGTAAATCACGAAAATTAACGTGATGAAAAATGTGACAGTGTCAGACCACGAAGGAATAATTGAAACAGGAATTTCCTTAAGTAATTTCGTATATTAATCGATCGTATATTATACGGTCGTATATTATACATCTTCGGAAGGAATGATTTACAAGTCAATATGTTTGGACATATATAGGTAGGAGAGAGAGAGAGAGAGAGAGAGAGAGAGAGAGAGGTGAAGTTAGGTACAATGATAAATAAATGAATGGGATTAGGTAGATATAAAATAAGAGCTGCATCATAAGTGCCAATAGGTCCCTATTAATACCCATGTATGGGCCAGTTGGCCCATACATGGGTAATAATAGCAAAATATAGTAGATATTGTCAAGTTTCGGCAAGGTCGCCAATTTGTCACGCATCACTCACCTTGGCCTTGTGTTACGTGAGGTTACAGTTAAACAGCGGGGGATCGTGCTACTGATCCTGTAACGTCACGCCGTGGGTCTTTGCTCCCTCCACTAGGGTATCATGCATCGTGCCCCAAGGAGCTCTCCTAGTCATGCCTCAAGACCGCTCATCATTATTTGATCTCGGACCCAAGGGGGAAAGGAGAAGGCCCAGCTCACACAGCTTGGTTCAATTCAGCAGTGTGTGTTACGGCCACTATGGGTCACAACTGGGTTCTTTGATGGTAGAACCAAAATGACAGTATTCTACCCTAAATTGGTAGTACACTTTTGAGAAAATGGCTGTGTAGTGCATAAAAAAAGGAGATGAACAAAACACTGTTCCTTTCGTCAATATATTAAATATCTTTCCATCACCGTTAAGCATATATATGTACACCGTCACCATAAATAATGTATAAAGAACAAATTAGGCAATTTCTACACCTATGTACAATCCTTTCGCTCAGGATATCAAACGTGTTCACGTGCAGAGTTCATCAATCCCCAGTATTTCTTCACTGTCCAGTAGCGTATCCAACCTTACTGGGAAGAACACCGGGTAGTTCACCTGTACGTGGGCCAGCCCACTGACAGTGTCATGAGGTGCCTGTACCCCCACGACCACTCTCCAGCTACTCGCTGGCAGAGTACCTCAGCCACACGCTGAGTGGGGTCACAATACAGGGGTAGCGATCCCCTGGCAGCAGTCTCTAGCGATCCCCTGGCAGCAGTCTCTAGCGATCCCCTGGCAGCAGTCTCCAGCGATCCCCTGGCAGCAGTCTCTAGCGATCCCCTGGCAACAGTCTCTAGCGATCCCCTGACAGCAGTCTCTAGCGATCCCCTGGCAGCAGTCTCTAGCGATCCCCTGGCAGCAGTCTCTAGCGATCCCCTGGCAGCAGTCTCTAGCGATCCCCTGGCAGCAGTCTCTAGCGATCCCCTGGCAGCAGTCTCTAGCGATCCCCTGGCAGCAGTCTCTAGCGATCCCCTGGCAGCAGTCTCTAGCGATCCCCTGGCAGCAGTCTCTAGCGATCCCCTGGCAGCAGTCTCTAGCGATCCCCTGGCAGCAGTCTCTAGCGACCAGCTAGCAGCACTACTCAACAGGCACCTCCCTGTCGTCAGTCTCTCCCCTAAGTCAGTCCCAAAGGTACGCCGATCTTTTTCAACACTAAAGCACCCAAGCTCTAGCAGCTACCACACTGCTTCATCGGCGGCGGCTTACTTGGTCGTTTCCCGGACCATGTGGGGAGACCGTGAACTGCCCAAGATGAACTGCCGTCTCCAGTACCGCTGCCCCCAGTCGTCACCTCTGTGGACACAAAAACGTCATCAATGACCTAGCCGATACTGGTGAACTAGGAAATACCACTAACCCACTGGGAAGTTGACATTGTACTCTGTAGCACACACTAGGTGGCGCTGGTCTTGATGCGTCACCTCACCAGAGGTCACTCACCACGACCCCTCTGGCTGACCAACACCAAGGTAAGAGGGGGAAAGGTAAGTGTGATTTGACCGTGTGAATATTGCATAGCTGAGTAAACAAAGAGTATTGAGGATAAGGTGCCATCTGACAGTATGAATTTTATTACTGTGTGAATATTAGCTGGTTAGTGATTATTTACCTAGCTGAATACAAAAAGTGTATTAAAGGACAGGATGTGTTTACTTTGATAGACTAGAGAACGTCTTCATCTGAATTAAGTTTGATGATCTAAGGCGGAGGACAGGAATTGGAGCTCGGTTAAAGTTTTGATTTATTGTACAGGGGTTTGAAAAGTAGTTGGGTTTTAACTCTCAGGGGATTTTAGCAGATAATGAATTTCCAGGAGCGAACTAAGGTAGGGGGACAAGAGCTGAAACTTGGTAATTTACTTGTTGATTTATTTTACATGAGTCTGAAAATGTAGTCGGGTTTTAAATCTCAGAGGATTTGGACTGACAATAAAGAACTTGTACAAATGAGCTAAGACAGGGGACGAGAGCTAGAGTTTGGTAATTCCTTGGAACTTATTTACTGTGTCTGAAATACAGAGGGTTTGAATTTCAGGGAAATTGATCTGGTACTAACAAAGATATGAGAGAGGGTAAAGGTGGGGGATAAGAGCTGGAGCTCAGTAATTGTGTTTTCTTTACTTACTCAGATATCACAATAAGTTAATATAACTTATTGTGAGTTAGGTTAAACCCGTCGTCGAGTGGTACGACGGGTTTAAATTTCAGGAAAATTTATGGGTTATTAACGAAGATGCGAGACGGAAGTAAGGCGGAGGACAAGAGCTAGAGCTCGGTAACTAAGTTGTCGTATTGTACTACGTTTGAATGATGACTGTTTAAAATTTAAGGGAACTTGGACTGTTAGTAAAGATGTTATGGGGTAATGTAAGGTGGAGAACAAGAGCTACAACTTGCTTACTGACTTTGTTTGATTTTACTACATCTGAAATATGATTGTTTAAATAGGCTTTTAATTTTTCGGTCTTCAAACGGACTCTGTTAATATTAGAATTTTCTCCGTAAGAACTCTTTAAGAACGCAGGTGTAAGTAAAACTCTGAAATATTTAGGTCTCAAAGTGAACTCTGATTAACTTGGGTCTCAAACTGGACTCTGTTAAATTTCGGTCTTAAAGTGGACTCTGTTAAATTTTGGGCTTAAACTGGTCTCTGACTAATTTTCGGTCTTAAAAGACTCTTGATTATTTTCGGATTTCTACTGGACTTTGACTAATTTAGGTCTTTTACTGGAC